AATAGGATTGCTAAATCATAGTAAATTGAAATCGCTTATGGCGATACGTATTGATGTCACTAAAGATGCCCTTTTAGAATTGATCAGAATTGTGCTGAATTACAATGTATGTATGAATTTGAATCAATCAATCAAAATTGAATCTGATCAATTCTCTTCACCTGCCACCTTGGGCACTGAGACCCACCAGGCATCTTGGAGGAGGGAGGGCCTCGGGTGATAAGACCCACCAGGCTGTTTAATATTTGGCATAAACATAGAGAACAGAAGTCAAGATGGAATGCTTATTTATAGCAATAGTCCCTTGATGAGAATGTTGCTTGCCTAGAGTGTATGTATGAATTTGAATGTTTGGAAAGGTATGACCTCAACTAGAAGCAGGCCTGCCTTCCCACCACCCTAACTTGAGCAGGCTGACCAGATAGACCAGAGATGGTTGCGCTCCACAAACTTACAAAGAAGCACAATCATTACTAAGACACAGTGGTGAGAGTATTGTTATTATCAGTTATGATTATTACTAGTATAATTATTAATTTAATCATTACTTTAGACAGAATTACTTGGGCTCATTGTCTTCAGAAGACACAGCAGAGCACAATCATTAGGAAATAGGCACTCAGTCCAGCACCTCAGATCTTTGGGCAGGCACCAGAGGAAGGCACCTGCAAGGGCAGCCACATGAGATATTATTATTATTGTTGTTGTTGTTGTTGTTACTGATTAACATTAGGAAAAGACATCACCCCAATCTCATTACCTCATTCTCATCTAGAGAAGCACAGACTGTTTTTGTTGACCTCACTAAAGTTCAGTTCACTGATAGCTCAGTTTGTCTGGTCCTACATTCACACAAGAGCACTGGCAAAATTTTATCTGTCTCATTGCAAAATTAAATCTTTGAAAGCTTGATGACAGTTGTCTTGAACAAAGACTTGATGCATCTGAACATTTCCATTATAACTTTTTTCTTATCTCAGGGTACTTACTTTTTTTGCCCTAGGCTCAGTAGAGCGGGCGCAAGTTTTAAAATGATGAAATCCTGTGCATCCAAAGCATGACTTTTAAATTTCATATGCTGTGGATGACCTGACAGGGGAAATGTTTTTTTTCTGAGAGGACCTTGTTTTTTTAGCCAGGAAGCACCTGACAACTATGCTCACCATAGTGAACACCAACACCCCCCACCAAACAAAGGCTGTGCAAACACCCAGTGCCCTGGGCTTACTTGTTGAAATACAGATAAGAGTTAAAATGCAGTGGTCATTGATTGAATGCAGCTAGACAGAGCTCTAGACCACAATCCCCACCTCCTCTTACCCAGTTTGGTGGTGGTGATCTGAGAAGCAGCTGATCTGAGAAGTGGCTGATGATGGAGGAAGACCAAATGGAGATTCAGGACGAAATGTGTGAGGAATGGGAAGTGGAGAATGGGGAAGAACAGAATGAGGACTCCTCCGACATGGAGAACCTGGAGGACATGGGTGAGCAGGAGGAGGAAAAGGAGGAGGAGGAGGAGGTGATAGTGCTGCTGATTACACTATTGATGACCTTGAAATTAATACAAGACATGCAGGTGGAGATAATAATAGAAGCATATTTATCGATAGTGTTGCTCAAAGCTTGTGATGAGAAGGCACCTCATGAAAAAGGGGACCGAGATATGCGGTGGAGTGGGACAACCAACGGGCATGCAAAGAAATGGAAGCTGACTGGACTCTGTGGATAAACCTCAGGAGCAGCAACCACATGGTCTGGGTCTGCAAGAGCAGCTTGGAATGGTGGGAGAGAATCATGCTGAACACTAGGGATGATCAGCAGTGGCTGCAGACATTCCAAATGACCAGGGAGACATTTTATCATATTGTCTTGATGCTAGGGCCATAAATTGTGAAGCAGGACACTAACATGTGTCAGATCATCCTGCCAGATGAGAGAGTTGCCATGGTCATCATGAAACTGGCCATCCCATCCAGCCTCTGCTACATCGCAAACCAGTTTGGCATGGCTCCCTGCCCAACTGGGCTGGTGACTCACAAGGTATGCCAGCTGCTGCAGGATGTCACGGCAAACAACTTTGTTCACCTCAGGAATCCTCAGGAAGTCATAGATGGCTTCAATGCTATGAGGTTCCCTAACTGCATAGGGGCTTTAGACAGCACTCACATCCCAGTGCAGTCTGCTTTGGGGAGGGGGAGGTCTTTCACAAACAGGAAAGGATTTGCCTCCGTGATCCTACAAGCCATGGTGGACCACCAGGGCTGGTTCGTGAACATTTTTACTGGGTCAGTATTTCTACGGACCGGCAGCACGCATGATGTGCATGTATTCAGAAACTCTCCGCTGCCTGGCCCCATGGAGAAAGGACACTATACACTGTTCCCAAGACAGTGATCCATGGTGTTGCCATTCCTCCACTTATAATAGCAGATGCTGCTTTCCCCCCTAAAGCCCTGGCTCATGAAGCCTTATGGAGTGAATGTTATGGATCTGCAGAAGCTGCTTTTCAACTTGCATCTGAGCAGATGCAGGATGGCCATTGAATGTGCCTTTGGCCAACTGAAAGCATGATGGAGGGCGCTTAACTGCTGGCTCAAGCTGGGGTCATAAAATATCATGGCCTTTGTAGTGGCAGCCTGCGTGCTGCACAACATCTGTGAGACCCCCAGAGAGTTTTTCAGTGAGGCATGGGCTGACGAAGTGTGACGGGCAGCTGCTAGACAGAGATGTGGCTGGGCAGCAGCACAGGAACTGAAGACATATCCACAAAGAGAAGCTGGTTGGGCAGCCCTTGTGCGGGATTGCCTGGCAGCACATATTATGGATATGGATGCTGACAACAAGTAGCAGTGGTTGTTCTTGATTACAATAAATTCTTTTACTATTTACAACATAAAAAAATGGGTCTGTCTGCAGGGGTGTGCGGGGGAAGGTAGTGGATTGGGGGTGGAGGATGAGCAGGGCATGGGGGGGTAACCTGGGGTAGGTGGACTGGGGTGGTCTGGGGAGTGCTGGGGAGGAGGGGATCATTACCAGGGATCCTGGTTTTCTCTGTTTTAAAAAAAAATCCCCAATTTTCAATTAAAAAAACGTAGCCCCAAATCCACAGAAAAATGTAGATTTGGAGTTACTTTTTTTAACCAAAAATTGGAGATTTTTTTAAATCAGAGAAAACCAGGATCCCTGATCACTACACATCACCACATAGCCAGCCTAAATCAAATCCTGTGAAAGGGTTAATTACATCTCTCGTTGGCTGGCTGTGGTGGTGTGGATGGGGAGCAAGTGGTATGATCAGCCTGCAGGAGTCCGGTTTACGAGTGTGGGGGGGCAGTGGGAGGGGGTCAATATTCCACCCCAATATTCCACCCCACTGACAACCCACCATTTCAACATTTCACAACACCCCTCCAAAAGCTGTATGCGGTGCTAAACAAACAGAAAAGGTGGCAGGTATTCACGGTGTCACATGGGCAGGAAAGGGGAGCGGGGGAAGCAGTCCCTTTGAGGGGTCCCCATGGAAACTGTTCCAAGCCTGGGCAGCTTGGGACTGCTGGAAAATGTAGTCCTAAAAGCCAGAAAACTAACAGCTGTCAGATTTGACACCACCCACACCTCCATCCCACAACACACTGTACTATTAGTACACCATTTATTTTTAATAAGCATTCATGATACACATTTGCTTCGGCAGCACAACACAAAACACGAAACACCCACACACTGGTCCACCTCATCACCACCATCAGCTACAATCACCAACTACCTGGGGCAGCACCCACTACTCTCACCTCCATATATTTCTGATATGATATATACAGTTAAAAAAATTACATATACAATTTCATTACTTTGCAACATGGGGGAAGGGAAAGGGTGGGGAGTGGATGATTTACACGGCATGGCATCAGGATCACCATGGAGTCGCCTACTGGGAGACTGGACCAAGCCTAGGTGGGTGCAAGTGGCAGGGTTTTGGAGTGACTGTGGCCTGGTGTGGGGGGGCAGCTTAGCTTGAGATTCCTGGTGGGGAGCAGGGGGCAGGGACTGTGGAGGCTAGTTTACTGGCAAACATGCCCCTCTTGCTGTAATTCATAGGAAAGACATTATTGGGGGTAGATTGGTATTTGGCTCCCCATGCTGGAATCTGGGAGGAATTACACATTGGACTTAATTTGTTCGAAAGATTGTGGCATGAAAACACAAACACGATGCACCAAAATAATGCAGGTTAAAAATTTTAAAGCTCTTTAAATTAATGAGGATTAAATGCCATGGCATGTACAAGCACTGTTGAAGACTGTGGTCTGTCAAAGAGACTTAGGAAAGCAGTGACATCTCTGCCATAGGAGCAGAGCTGTACTATGGTTACTTCACTGAAACTGTTTTCTCGGTCATCCCATCAGTCCTGAGCTGAATCAGCAAGGCTTCTTACCATAATTGATTTCTATGGATTATATCTTTAATTTGTTTGCGAATCTTTTTGGGGACATGTAAAATAGATTAAAAGGAAATTTATAATGCCAAATTGATTAATCTCATAATATGGTTTTAAGATTAATGGGGATTCATCCATATTTGAGGTGTTTCTGATGGGTTCCACAGGGTTAATAACTCAGTGCTATTCACATTTTTTATAAGGAATCTGGAAGGGAAATGGTATGAATTTATAATCAATCCGTAAGGACAGGATTTTCCAAGATTTCTCAGACTAGATCATTATGTGTTAATAATTTTCTGTGCATTTATTTCATTGCATAAATATATGTGCATAAGTATGTGACAGAATATGCTCTTACACAATGGAATGCAGAAACTTGTAAATATTTTACACCTTTTTGTGACCCTTCCTGCAGGACCAGAAATGCCACTTCAGACAACTAATCTAGCAGTTTACCTTTAATAAATAAGTCTGGTGAGAAGGAAAAGGAAACTCATTTTGTTCAAGCTGATTCCATTCAATGCGTATGCTCATACCATGTTTCTTCCTTTGGTTTCAGAACATGAGAGTCCGATATGTAAGTGGAGATATATACTACAGCAAAGCAGGAAAGAAATTTGGAGGTCAAGTGCTGGAGAACTTTGTCCTGATAGACTGTGATCAAGTTCTCACTGGTACCTACAGGTGAGATGCATCTACCACCTCAACTGCGTGAGACATTGTGTCAAAAAGTCATTATTACCAAGTTTTCTAAGGCTGTAGACAGAGATAATACTAAACCATTTTTTAGGGGAAGTGGTTGATACATTACCCTGGAAAGTGTGTATAGGGTAACTGAAAGGCATAATCAGGGTGGGCAGTTTGTGTAACTAGGGCAGGGTGACTGGAACAGCAGCCCCTGGTGTAAACTTGGGAGGACAGGGGTGGAAAAATAACAGCTGCTGCTTTAGCCACAACCCATCCCAACTCAGGGTTCCCTGCTTGAGAAGTTCTAGGGAAGAATTCTATATTTTTAACAAAGGTAACGGTTGGGGTGAGGAGAAAGCAACTTTTAATATTTATCTAGGGATCACAAGGTAGTTTGCATAAAGGGATGATCTTTAAGTTTTTTCACTTGAATTTATCTCTCATCCAACATAAATCTGAGAAAACCATTTCCTAGATGCCATTCTCATTCTATAGCAACCCATAGCTTTGAATAAGGTTTCACACATCAGTTATAATGTCCTCCAACTGAGCTGTGTAATTGCATGCCATTATATCGGGTGCTGTAAGACCTCCCATCTTACAAGGTCTGTATAAATACTGATGCACTCATCCTTGGCCTTTATTTTTTTGAGATGAAGTTCAGGAGAATAGCTTGCCACACCTTGAAGGTGCTCTCTGGTATACATATAGGTAAACACTGGAATAGAAAGAGAAATCTCCATCCTCATCCAGTCTTTGAAGGATTTTGCTGTTTTAGACCAGACTGGTAAATAATTAGCATTTAGAAGGTTCTCATACTTTTCTATAAGATTAATGCCTGGGTATCTCACTGAATTTTTAACCCACTTATAAAGGTTTTCACATTCCTCCTTAGGTTTCTCAGAAATATCAGAATGATAAATCAGAAATGTTACATAATTATTTTGTTTTTGTTATGTATTTATTAGCTTTATATAGAATCATAGGAAAGTAGGGCTGGAAAAGACCTCATGAGGTCATTTAGTCCAGGCCCTGTTCATTGTAGGATCATCCCTGATTAAATGATCCCAGCCAACTGTCTCTCAACTAGGGCTGTGTGAGTCTTCGGATCCCGCTTTGGATCCAGATCCACTTCAGACACTTCGGCATCCGAAGCGGCATGCTCAAATTGAATTGGGGCCTCGGCAAAAGTATCTGAAGTGGGTTGGAGCGTCCGAAGTGCTTCAGATCCACTTTGGACGCTTCGTACCCGCTTCAGACAGCTTGATTGACAATTAGAAGAGGGAGGGGGAGTGGGGGAGGGATGAAGAGTGAGGTGGGGGAGTGATGGGGAGCCGGGGGGGGGGACTGACATCTGTAGGTAGCCAGTGAGAAGGATTTCTCACTGGCTAGGCTTTT